ATGAGTTATCTAGAATACTAAGCTGGCATTCTATCAAAAACCAGTCTGCATGTATACATTCTGTCTTGAAGTTCACTTTGGGGGAAAGGGGTGGCAAACTGCACAGCCCGATGATCAGGAAGGACTCGAGAATCAGGGCACCCAGGCAAAAAACAACCTATTTATAGTGACAGAATTAAGACTGCCCATCAAAACATGCCCTGATTTTTATCAGTAAGAGTAAAAAATAAATGAAAAATCACAAAAAGAGAAAATAAACGTTCCCATTTTGCTGTTGATAACACCCAGATAACCAGGTCTGCCCCAAAGACTCGTCAAGGTTTGTCGAGATGCAGTTTAACTTGGCTTTTTGTTATCACGTCTTCCGAGCTCGGGTCAGGGGCGGCACTCACTTGGAACAGGGGCTGATCACAGTCGGTGTAGGTGGGTAAACCAAGGCAACATTCACTCGCTCGCTGCCGTTCTTGGGGCAAATGATCTCTGCCACTCCTTCTGGTCTGGGCTGGCTCAGCAACTCCCCTGTGGGAGGAGAGAGAAAAATGTATTCATGAGATGTGACTTAAAAGTGGACGCATCTTAGAGGGAAAGACAGTGCTTGGGGGTAGGGGAAGGAGGGAGAAGGGCTGCTAGTGAGGACGCAAAGGTTCCACAGACAAGGGCGGCAGAGAACAAATGTGCAGCCAAGGGTAAGAGAACCGGCTCTGCTCCCACTACTGGAATTCTCACCTGCATCACCACGGACAGCGTTCTAACGCTTATGGCAGGAAGACAATCACTCCAGACAAAGACACCATCTGCCCCCATTCTCCTCACCCTCCTTTTCACAGACTAACTCTGAAGATCTTTATCTAGACGTCCTCCACAATTGAGTCAGGGTCCCTAGAGCCCAATGAAGCAAGGACAGCCAAGAAGGTGTTCATAATCGAGATCGGGGACAGATGGGAGTCGGGCAGACTGGAGCCGCCTTTCAACAAAGCCCTGCATAAATGATTTGGAGATGCAGCAGACTAGAGGTGTTACCAAGGGAAAGAGCCTGAGAACAGCCCAGCTCTGTCCTGAGTAGGTCTGCGTGCACCTTATAAAGGGCCAACACAACATTATAATTTATGGGGTCTCGTAATAACAGAAAATTAACTTACTGGATTACTGTAACATCTAAAGGAAATCTGTGTATTCTGCACGCGCCAGGTTGGTTCTCTCCAGTGAGGTCATTAAATCCTTAAGACCAGCGACGACTTCCATTTCTTAGCTTCCTCCCCCTGGACCACTAAACCCAGCTGGGACCCTGCCCTTTCCCTCTTTTCCTGGCCAGCACTGTGTTCTCACTCGGCAAGTACTCAGTCAATGCTTCTCAGCTGACGATGGTACACGTTACTGCCTAAATTCCCTTAATAAAATCGAGAAAGTAAACAAGTAAACACCAAACCAAGAACACAAAACTCAGGTCAACTGGGGAAAAATGCTACTGGAATTAAAACTTCAATGCCATGGCAGCCATCACTTCTATTATAGATGTGAAATGCTGAAGCCTGGAAGAATATGTCAACATATAACGATACAAAAATCTTTTGCCTCAAAATAACGTATTTCTAAACGCCTCACCATCAGCAGAACTCATATTGCTGGAGCCTGCCCACGTACGGGCACTGAGCTGAAAGCTTTAGATGTACATCTCATTTATCTTTACAATGACCCTAGAAGGATCTGTCCTCAGCTTACAAATGAGGAAGCTAATGCTCAGAGAGGTTGTGTGACGAATCCAAAGTCAACTTCAGCAAATGGCGGACTCAGGACGTGAACTTGGGAACCCATCTCTGGGGCCCTTCCCCCATCACCTCCCCCAAAGCAGGAACTACTTCCTTATGCCAGAACACAATCTTCCTAGAGGAGCAATATAAAAACACTATTTTTAAACAAATGAACTAAGCACTGACATATTTATACTTCTATGAAAGACGTTTCCTGATGTGAACATTTTTATGTGGTTCTGCACGGTAAGGACTAGATGTAATTCGAATTCCTTAACCACACTAGTGCAAACACCAAACTGCTGCACAAAGTGACTCAGCATCAACAGCTTGTATACATGGGTGCCACGACAGTACTCCAACACCAGCTAGGAAAGGATCTCACGGTACAAAAACACAAGTTAAAAAATGCAAACACTGAATGTTTTCAAAGTGGTAACATGAACCAAAGTAACAGCATGCTAGAGTTAGAACAAAGCCTGGAGAGCAACCAGTCCAAACATCACTTAATATGTCAGAAGCTGTCTGACTTTAACAGGTTTGCTCTAAGGCCAACAGAGAGCTACGCACCTTTAAACCAACCCACCCACCATGTAGACTGCAATGAGAGGGTGCTCTGAGCA